TCTTTCTTTCTTTCCTTCTTTATTTATTTATTTATTTATTTATTTATTTATTTATTTATTTCCTTTCTTCTTTTTTCTTTCTTTATGGTTTTCATGTTTGCTTGTTTGTTTACTTGCCAAGTTTCAGAACAAATAAACCGTGATTTAAAGAGGAGCAACATGTATACAAGTTCTAGCTGCAAATCCTGCCTACTTGCCTTTTTTTCGTTTGCATATACACTTCAGACTGCAAATAACATGATATATCACTGCTCAACTATTTACACTACGAAGAATACTGCTTCACTTGTGCCCGCACAAGCTTTCATGTCAGGACACGAACGAGAGAATAGCCTCTCCGTGCAGACGCACCGCTTCACGCAGCGGAAAGGCAACTTGCCTCGGGCTAATATCGTTTCTTAATCTCTGTCCTATGCATGCCGGACGGGGCTTTTGATCCATACGGCATCATGACGCAAATACGCCTGAAGATTCTATTATCAAGGAGGCACGCGTTGTGTTTAGTGCTTCATGTCACACGAATGTCGCTCTATTTTGCTTCCCTCCATGCTGCACGCGCGTCCACAGTGTACAGCATTTTTCTTTTGGTCTCCATAGGTGAAACTTAATAGCCGAGAACTTCTCTGCAACGGATCCATTGTTCATAATTTCACTGAACAAGCAACAATGAAGAGAGATTGGCTAAAATATGAGGAGCTCTGATTGAGAGGTTGTGAAGTCCAATAAACCGAGATTCATGCAATGCAAGTGCAATATTGAACCTTATAGCGGAGGTCGATGAAAACAGCTAAGGAAGATGCAAGACGTACCCCTCATATCCTTGAATGAAGGAGAGTAATCCTGAGAACTCTCCTCCTTGTCTGACACAACCCCAGTGAACACCAGCAGACAGTGAAGCATAGAAAGGCACAGGGAACGTAAAGTGTACCGGCCCAAGTGTACCACAACAGTCGCGTTATAAGTGTGAAGAAAATAAGTGAGAAAAAAAACAACACTTACCGCAGGTAGAGACCACCGCTTCGTCGGCATTAGCCTGCGCCTTATGACTCCATTTGAACCTGTTTGAACTGCGTAGACGTGTTTGGGAAGCTTCTGTGAGACCTCTTCTGGCACGAAATTCTTACGACGCCCTGCTACACCCCACACGAAGTCGTTCGTTCTTTGTGGCAGTATTGCCCCGAAAACATCGTCGCAAAAAAAAAAAAAGAAACGCGTTGTGCGTACTATTGTTCAAAAATATTTTCCAACTCATTTTTTTCATCTTTATCAGTTATCCGATCAGACTCTGTCTATAAGAAACTTCGACTGAAATGATAGTAAAGATGACTTTGCAGTCTTGTGATTTTGAACAAATTAACCGCTTCAACACACCAGCCTGTCAAATGAACAACTCACACCTCACTTGACCTGCCAGCGTGTGTCGCTCATAGAACGATATGTTGTCTAGTGAACAACACAGCGACATTATTCAATGCGACATTTTTAGCGAACTTCGGCGACTTTGAGCGTATCTATCTATCTATCTATCTATCTATCTATCTATCTATCTATCTATCTATCTATCTATCTATCTATCTATCTATCTATCTATCTATCTATCTATCTATCTATCTATCTATCTATCTATCTATCTATCTATCTATCTATCTATCTATCTATCTATCTATCTATCTATCTATCTATCTATCTATCTATCTATCTATCTATCTATCTATCTATCTATCTATCTATCTATCTATCTATCTATCTATCTATCTATCTATCTATCTATCTATCTATCTCTATCTATCTATCTATCTATCTATCTAGCCGCTTATGTTTGGTTGCTCTCATGATCACTCCTTTACTTGGCGTTAACCAAAATTATTATGGGAGGGAGGGTAAGATGGTTTGACGAATATGACGCGCTGGTCAAAACATGAATAATGGGACATTCCCGTCGCGTACGTCGTCAAACACTTCCCGCCAGACAGTGGCACAAAGCCACAGGCAAGTATGTGCCGCTGGTATGCGGGTATGTGCCACAGGTCACTGACACTTAGTATCTACCTAGGAGCGACGAAAACACACATGGGCAATTGTAACGCGCGTAAAATACCCGACATCGGTAGCGTCGACCAGACGAATGCTACGAATAAATGTCAAAGTCCCAGCTAAAATCGAACCCATGCATTCAGCGTGGCAATGAAGCATTTTACCACACAGCTACGCCAGGTCTCGGAACTACTTTTTGACGCTAATCGTCGTGAAACGTCATTAGTGGTTGCAGTGCTGTCTACCTAGTTTTATAAACGTTACATATGTACTCCTTTCATACAGCCGTCACGTCGGGTTAACATCAATTGTGGTTAGGTGCCATGCGCTGAACTTCATTTATCCAGGGCAAGCATCCTCGCGAGCATCAGCGCTTCATATCGGCTTCTGGTGTTGCTAATACGCATGTTCCCGTTGGCATCGCTGCGCAAGCTCAAACAACTGGTTATATAGGCATCTGCAACTCTTCAACATATGTCTGTGGGCGCGATATTTTTACATATATTTAGCGTGATTTCATGACGTCTCGTTCAATAAAAAAAATGCGACACGCTCATCTTCCTTCCCCACGCTTCGCATAACCTCGATTCCCAAGCTACGTGGGATCTGCCAAATTTTTTACCATGTAAAACGTTAGGTGAATGTTGCACAAGCAGTGGGCTGAATAAAAAAACTCAACAAAAAAACCTTCAGTGCATGTTGACACGAATGAATTTGAAGGTTCACAGCCCTCGGAGACGTGTAGTTATCAGTAACATTACAAGCGTATCTTGCCTGATTCGCTGTTATTCCGCAGAAACACCTGCTTCCAGCCGAGAGCGCTCCCACGCTCACGACGTGGTAGGCTGGAAAATAAGGTGTCGCGCTACTGATCTCGACAAAAGGGGTTCGAATAATATTAAATTGTAAGAATTTAACGTCCTTAAACCACCATATATGAGAGACGCCGTAGCGGAGGGCTCCGGACATTTCTACCACCTGGTGTTTTTCAACGTGCACCCAATTCTGAGCACACGGGACTCGAGCACTTCGAACATGTACCATGGCGGGTATGGGTTCGCATACTGGCCACTGCAGCCTATCTTAGATGGAGGTGAAGTAAGAGAACACCCGTGTACTTAGATTGAGGTGCTCGTTTTAGAACATCAGGTGGCCAGAATTAATGCGTAGTACATAGCTACAGCGTGCCTCATAGTAATATCGTGGCGTTTGCCTTTGAAACCTCATAATTATTTTATAATTCGCTCTCTTAAGGCTGATTGTGGCCCGCCGGAGTGGTGTAGCGGTTATGGTGCTCAGCTGCTGACCTGAAGGTCGCGGGTTCAATCCCAGTGGTCGCATTTCAATGGAGGTGAAATGGTAGAGACCCGTGTAGTGTGTGATTTCAGTGCACCCTAAAGAACACCAGATGGTCCAAATTCCCGGAGCGCTCGACTGTGGCGTCTACCTAATAATGTCATTGTGGTTTTAGGACGTAAAGCCCCAGATATTGTTATTATAAAGGCTAAGTGTAGACTATGGTGGTCCCTTGTGTTGATTTTCTCCAAATATATTCGCTCGTAGTGTTGAACGTCCCTTCACTCAGCGCTCAACCTTGAAATGTGAAAGTTGATGGTACCACCGTCTCTGGGCAGAACAAGTCACTGCGTATCAGCGATAATGTTCAGCTATTGTAGAGAAGCGCGCCGTCATTTTCAGTGGAGCAGCAGCGCTGTGCCCAACTCGGTCAAGTCAAGGACGAAATGCGAGTCTTATTTTTTTTTTTGAGAATACGGGGGTGAATGAATGGTACTCACTCTCATGAGATGTATTGTATTCTTGGTAACGATTCGGCCCGCACACAGTGGACGGGACGACGGAAGGCTAGGAGACAAACAAGCGTGAATTCACAACTCAGTTTGTTGAAAGCAATAACCAAAATATATATCCCAGAGTATCTCAAGAGTGCATGTGCGAATGAAAAGCAAAAGAAAGAACGATAACGCACCATGACACTAATTTTTTTTTGCATAAGTGGTATCTACAACGTGCAGCACAACGTATAGAAGTCAAGAATGGCTCAAAAAGGGGAACTCCTTGTCAGTTAGAGTACAGTGGATGGGCTGCTTACGCATTTATCAGCAAACCTTCTGATATGAAACGCTTGTACTAATTCCCGAGTTAGCTTGCCATTGTAATTAAACAAAATGATGGTGTCTCACCACCATCCATCGCACTATCTGACAATGAATTCACCTTTTTGAGCCATACTTGACTTGTACATTGTGCTGCACGTTGTAGATACTACTTCTGTAAAAATTTGTGTCATGGTGTCTTATCGTTCTTTCTTTTGCTCTTCATTCGCACATGCGCTCATGAGCTACTCTGGGATATATATTTTGGTTATTGCTTTCAACAAACTGAGTTGTGAATTCGAGCTTGTTTGTCTCCTAGCCTTCCGTTCTCCCGTCCACTGTGGGCTCGCCAAAATGTTACCAAGAATGTCGTCAAACCAAACTCGCCCAACTTTCTATTTTATTAGACGTATTGCAGTTGAATCTAAATATGAAGCGTTGGTCTCGTCTTCATCGCAATCGTCGTAACGAACATGCGGATTGTTATCGTCCATCGCAGTGGGTCAGACCGAGAGGAAACGTGACGTATATGCTATCGAGGCTCGTCACACATTTCACACCACGGCATGTTTCACGGCTACGCAGCAATTTCACGAGTTGGCGCCGGGCGCGCGAGGGATGCTAATCTATGGCACACTCCGCGCGAGCATACAGACATCTCCATTCGGCGTGCCTGGCGATGATTGGCCACAGTGCTCACAATGGTCTAAGCATTCAGCCCCGTGCAGCAAGAACATGGTTCATTCTTTTTCGTCGGGCACAAAACAACACTCGTGACGACAAATACGGGGCGTTGCGTTTCGCGGCGAAACGCGGGGATTTCGTCGTCTCTCTCGCTGCTTGCGTTCGCACGGCCGAGAGGCCGCCGCTCTTGCCGCCCGCTTGCCGCCTCTTGGAGCGGTAGTAATGCGCTTCTGTTGCGTGCTCGCGCCGAGGTCGGGAAAGCCGTCCGATCGGCCACTCGCGCGAGCGCGCATCAAAGGGCGCCGCTTGTTGACGCTCCTCTCGCTGCCAGGGGTCAGCTCGACGTCGCTCCGAAACACTCGATAGCGGAAGGGTAGCTTCTTCATATCGGCTCACTCGAGCCTGCAGACGACTTTGCACACTTTGCAAGAAAACGCGAGGGTGACGACTCTGGGATGTAACTTTGTGCAGTATATCGTGGGAAGGAGTGTACACTGTACGGATACAGAGTGCGCTCGAGTAGCTACCAGACGAACGATAAGGTGTACAGACGGCAAGTTGTTCAGCGACTGCCAGACGACGTCAGGTCTCCATTGAATGAAAACTGGAGGCGTTGCCAACGTGTGTGTAGCGTATACGGTAACACAGGGAGAGACCGTGCTCGTTTTGTGCGCGTCCATGAAGAGTTTATTCTTGTGTAATCGACGCTAGAGATGCTCAGTGATGACGGACGAGGAGTGGTCGTCACTGTTCCTCGCGACCGGATTGCCTGTTCCCGATCTAAAATGTGCCACTTACTCGATAATCGTGGCAGCACTGGTCTCTCCACACTGATTGGTACTGTCCTCCTCTTCCTAACCAAGGCGTCACGAAGGCTCTTCTTAGAATATACCTGCAGTCTTGCAGTTGCCGTCGAAATGATAAAGGAAAAGATTTTTGTGGCGGCCGGCGAAGAATAACATATAAGTATGCCTTTGAAGACAAAAACTTCGCAAGTATCATTCAAGAAGTCATTCACCCGAATCACACCTGATTTACTGCGTTAGTGTTACCTTGCCTCCTTTTTTGTCCGAGCTTGCATGCCCCACTTATTTTTATTATAATGTATTCTAACCAACTAGCTGAACTTTCACTCATTCTATTATTCTTTTGCGTAGCAGCACGCAACACTGTTTACTTCATATATAGAAAGTATTGTATTGAAAGTAGTGGACATCTAAACATTATGGCGCCTTGTCTTTCTCCGGAACTTCCCACAGGAGGCCGCTATAAGCATGACTACATAAAAAAAAGGGGGGGGGGGGTAATGTGGTCTTTCAGAAGAATGCTGGAAAGGGTTTTTCCTCTTTTTATCTAAGTGCAGCGATCAATTATCGGCCTTATGCCTGAAATAAAAGTATATAACCGCAGCAATGCAAAGGGCCATTTCAAGCGATACCCTTTTAGTGAACACTGCTGTTGCGTGTTACGCATGCGCCCGTTTTGGCGTACAGTCGTGCGCTTCCCAGCTCAATATACTGACTCGCCGAGCTGATCAGCGTTCTTTAGTGCTCCAGATACTGATGTGCCCCAGCAAGGAGGGTCATTAGCGCAGTTATGTGGGCTTTTAGGCATATCATCACAAAGGCGTTCAGTGCAGTGCAATTAAGCAGAATGTCCACATGAAAACACATTAGTACATTAAAAGGTAACCTACTTTCTCTGCGTACAAGGACGCAGAGAAAATAGGCGTGTTCTGTTTTCTCCGCGTCCTTGTACTAATTTCATTACACTGTAAGAATTAGTTACAACATACTGGTGAAACACGCCGTCCTTCTCAACAAGAGTCTCAACACAGAATCTCGCATTTACGTGCAGGCGCGTGAGCGCGTGGAATCTCGCGCGCGAACGCGTGCGTGGAGTTATCGCTTAAGGAGGACGTTTACGTCGTGAGTCGCGGCTGCTTTTAATTCTCGCTCAGTTATTATCGCAGTGTAGAGGACAAACAGCCGTGCTAGCGTGGAGGAGATCACCCGATCATTGAGAACGAAGCTCGCGTGTCTTCAATGCACACACAAACACTGTACGGCATCGCTCATCTCATCATTCCGCGGTAGCCGCGCACACGCGCACTTGGAATAGAAGACGGACGTGGTATTCTGTGTTCCCATGCGCGCGGCGGCCTCGGCTGCAGCGAGCCATCGAGACGCGACCTGACAAACTGGTCTGCTGGGCACGCGTCTGTCGTATTGTGGGAGAGGAACAAAATATAAAGTGGGCCGAAAGAAAGCACGGCCAGAGCTGATCGGCGTGCTCTGTTTGTCGGCCGGCTACGAGGGGGGGGCCCTTGCATATAATTGCCCGGCGTGTCGTCGTTCTAACCTCAATTGCCTTGCGCATCTTTCGCCCTCCATGTCGCTGCCCTTTGCAGCCGCTGCTTCAGAAGACTCGGGACTGCCCACCGCGCTTCAGGGCGGTGGTGCACTGACACGCGCCATTGGGCGCCGTGGACGGCGCTCGTACAGATCTGCATGTAACGTGACGAGCGCAACAGTTGTGGACTTTATTTTTAAACGTATTAGCATCAGCACGCCACGTCGTCGCGCGTCAGTACTTCGTCTCGAGCTAATCAGACTACATGGAACTATGTACGGGGTACACCAAGTTTCGCACTTGGGATTTTTTTTTTGCAGCTAGCAATTATATGTAGTGCAAGAGGCTACAAGTAAAAAATTCCTCCGCGAACGCAGACGAAGGCATAGCATTTGATAATGTACATGCGAAGTTAAAGTGCACGCATAGACTGCTCTTACACCAGAGATATGTCATATTTCATTGAATATTCCTGTGTTCAGTCTGTTAGCATTCGCCAGTAGTTCCGTGTGCTACTCGTGAACGACTTCGCGCATAAAGACGCTTTTCTCGGTTATAAGACACATTCGCCGACAAATAGGGCTTTCTTGTTTGTGGTGATGGCGGTTGTACTCGAACAAACTACTCAATGAACAGAGCAGTAATCACTGATCACAAAGTGACCGGGTGGATTGTGTATCCCCAAGACATGTGGTAAATTACCAAGTACCTTGTTGTGAGCCTCACCTGTGACGTTTCGGTGAAGTGCCTATGTTTCCTTTGGACGCGACAATGTAGTATTGAGAAGCTATAATCATTCGATGCGGTAAAGAGCATAGTATGCATCTCGGTCTATCAGCGTCGACATTCAGTTTTTAGTCAGATATCCGGCATTTTATGTCAGTATATCTAATGACAGTAGAGACATTAATGATTATAAGCACACACGTCGTTTAAAGCTATACTATATGGTGTGTGAAAACCACGTGACTTCTATGCGCATTAATCGTCAACGCTTTAGCTTTTAGCCGTGTGAGCTCTTGAAAAACGCGGTTCAGAAAAAAATGCCGTTGATTTTATTGATTTGTGGGGTTTAACATCCCAAAACCACTATACGCCAAATGCCATTGGTCACGCTAGGTGTACACGAAGGTTTACCACGTTTGTGTGTTAATACATCTTTCCATACCTTTTTTTTTCTTTTTTCAAGTTTTCTGGCTCGTTTATGGAAATAAGTGTACACACATAAATGCGCTGATTGCGTACCAGCTCTTGTGAACGTCATTTCTTTATGCCATTGTTTTCACCACAATGATTCACTGCTACCTAATCATTAGCCCTTATTAACTGACTCCTCGTAACTGACTCCTCACCTTTTCAATGAACACGCATTGCTCTTCTTCGGCCTAAGTTTCATGCACTTCATAATCACGCTTCCTCTTCGCGTATGTCAAGCTGAATAGACTGTCTTTTTTGTCGGTAGCATTCTAGTGTGCCCGATACTGGAGTTTTATTTTTATTTATTGATACTACAACCCCTTTTCACGAGTTTTAGCAGGATGGGATACAAAGCATAAATGAAAATACATTATAGATTTACGACAGGAAGATTGCAATAGTAATAATAATAATAATAATATAATAATAATAATAATAATAATAATAATAATAATAATAATAATAATAATAATAATAATAATAATAATAATAATAATAATAATAACATAAACACATTCACTAAAAATAACAAATTCATGTTCAATGACCCAGCAAAGTATTTACAATAAGTGCAAATGAAACAAAGCAATAGGAAACGGAGACGCAAAGAGACAGAAACTATGAAAAAATAACTGATCATGTTTCAGCCATCAAGAAACGATGAAAATGCTGAGAAAGAAGTTGCTTGAACCATTATTGCTATTAAGGTTATTCCAATCTGTGACTGTTCTCGAAAAAAAAAAAGAATACTTGAAGCAGTCGTTATGAGAAGGGAAAGGAGTGATTGTTATAGCTCGTGTCTTTCGCGCGTTGAATAACCGGAGGAGAACGATAACCATTCGCTAGCGTTGATGTTATAGTGCCCCTTGATTAACTGATATAAAAATGTTAAACGTGATGAGTGGATTCTTGAGGCTAAGTGCATTGGGTTAGCTCGAGCTTGCAGGTCACGCACTGAGCTGAGTCGGAAATCGTTATAGATGAACTGTATGGCTCTTTTTTGGACATTTTCGAGTTTCAGAATATTACCTTTTGTATACGGGTCTCATATATTAGCAGGCTAGTCTAAGAATGGTAGGACAATGAAATAGTATGCTATTTTTTTCTGCAGAATGGGTACTCAAAGTTAACGTTCTTCTTGAAAAAGGGATTTTTTTAAGCATTAGCTGTAACATAATGAATATGTTTGTTCCACCTAAGGTCATTTCGCATCCAAAGCCCAAGATATTTGTATTCGGATACTTCAGACAAACTCACACTGTTGAAATTACATGTAAAAATTACATGTGAATTACATGCAGATCACTCTTTCGAGTTATCCGCATGAAAACAGTCTTGTCGAAATTTACACACATCTGCCATTGTTTACCTCATGAAGCAACACGTTCAACATTATTGTCTGAGAGCGACTGATCCGATTCTTTGTTAACCTCTGTATAAAAACACAGTAGTCCGCGTACAATTTTATTTTTACATGATGTCTTTTACTATGTCAATTATATACATAAGAAAAATAGTGGCCCCAGGACTGACCCGTGTGGGACACCTAATTTCACTGGCAGATGATTATACTGCTGGCTTTTAAATGCAACAAACTGATGGCGATTACTTAGGTACACTGAAATTTAATTACCCAGATTTCTGGGGACGACGTAATTGGGGACAACGTAATTTAAATGATTTACTCTGTGATACTTTGTCGAAAGCTTTCGAGGAGTCCAAGAAATTCGCATCAATTTGTTTAACAATACTTACTGACCTAAAAAAATCGTGAATGGTAGCTACTAGCTGTGTAGCTGAACTGTTGTGTAGCTACTGAACTGTTGTGTAGCTGTTA